CCTACAGCCCTGGCAATCAGAAAGGAGCAAAACACACTGCAGGTAACAGCACAGGCTGCAGTGAGCTTCTCCCAGAGTTGCTCCTGTCAGCTTGAAGGCTGTTTGGGGTTATTTAGCTAAAAGCCACCCAAAGCTGCACATCACAAAAGCCCACGCAGCAGCAGAGGTACCAGCTCTAGATAAAGATCCAGGAGCTTAACACTGTACTCCCAAAGTTTTCTTTATTAAAATCAAACCCACCCGCATTTATGACAGAAAACCTCTTTTAAGGCTCAAGTGTGCACTCAGCAAGGTTTTGTAGGGCAACATACACAGCTTATTGCTGCAGCCACCACTTTTACTGTTAGTTATTAAAACATACTGATTTAGGCATTCCATTTATCCTGCAGACACGCATTAGAAACAGCAAACACCCATCACTAGATCTCAGCAGCATGTTTTTAATACTGCATTCTAAAAATCAAAGAACATCCAGGCAACAAACTTTCTCTGATAAAGGGAGGGGACTCCTCCCCATTCAAGATAATGGCATTTTTTCCCAGGGAATAAGTTCGAGAAACTCTTTGAAGATCATGAGCACATACGGTTAGTTCATAAAACTTAAGACTGAGGTTACTGAAAACATACACACAACTTGCAGCATGTGGACAATCTGGACTCACCAGTCACCATGTTGCATGTATTTCTGCTGCTCTTGTCCTGAGCTCTTAGACTTGTAACGTTCTGGAGAAGACAGAACAAAGAAGCTCTTTCCATCCCCAGTTCCTCTTTTCTTTATTAAAGCCATTTTATTTCTCATATGTAATCCATTAAGAGAAAAAACAAAAGCAAGAACCCCCAGGACAGACAGATATGATCATCCACGCAGCTAGCGGCTCCTACTGAAGAATTGCGAGGTGCCCAATTGTGTCCCTCTGCTTGACCAGCGTGCCCAGGGACAAGCCTGCGAGCACAGCGGTGACAGGGCGCAGAGCGCTCGCACCCTGCGGTGCCCGGCGCAGCGCAGCCGG